CAGCGGTGACGCGCCCAGTGCCCCGCCTCGATAGAAGTGGATAGTGGTGACACCTTTCGTGTACGAGTAGCATGTTGCGTCCTTCGGTCGCGCCACTGGGCGCCGCCCCGACGCCCGAGCCTCGACAGGCGGACTCACGTCACAGACTCCGCGGATCGGCGTCGACACTGTCTCCAAGCAGTGCTAGAACTTGTACTAGAGAAGTTGTTTTCAGAGGGGGTTTCAGAGTAGAGTACAGAGAGCGCCCCGTGTACCGCATAAATCGGTTCGACAGTGTGTGAGAGGTGGGGATGGATTTCCCCGATGGAGATTTTGGATTACGAGCTCAGAGCGCGGGCACGTTGTGCACCGCGGACGGCGGACGCCTGCCCGCCCCGGCCGCGCCCCGCTCTCTAGCGCGCGGGGCGCTCTCGCCAGAACGTCCTAGAGAACGTCGGTCCGACACGGACATAATCGACAGCTTTACGAACGAAGGGCCATCCTACTTCCTGGTGCGTGCGAGCGCTCTCACTGCTCAAGTGTGTGGCGGCACAGTGTGGGTTAACAATCCACCTTCCAGCGAAAACATGCGCCACCCCCAGCCAATATCTCGCGGCGGAGCTTAGTCCTCTCATCCGAAAGAGCGGAGCGCGCCTGTACGCTACACAGTCTCTGACAGGCCGTCTGGGACCCCGCTTCTCCAATCCGCGGAGGGTCGCTCCCTACGACGGCAGCAGGCGTGCGGCCTGCATCCGCTTCTTGGCCTCAACCCTCGAGCACATGAGCTCCGCGTGCCGCTTGGCTGGCAGCCGGCGTCCCTCCCCGTCCTTGATGACCAGCGACTCGGAGTAGTGCTGCACGACCTTCTTGGCCACTTGGTCCGGGCTCTCGTTTGGCGAGGCGTTGGCGAGGTGCATCTCGATCTCGGAGCGGAGGAAGAGCGCGCGGTGCGCTCCGTACCAGTTGTAAGTCTTGGCGACTGTCTGGTTGCGCGGGTTGTACTGCTTAACCAGCTGGTGCGCCGACTCGCCGGAGCCCTCCTCCATCCCGAGGATTGCCGGGTGCATCATCTTGTCGGCGCGCATGCCGGCGGCCCGCGCCTCGCACGAGCCGAGACCGTTCGCCACCATCACCGACTCGCGCGAGCAAAACGCCAGGGTGGAGTCCGCGTGCACCTTCGCCTCGAGGACCTTGAGCATATCGTTGGCCTTGATCTCCTTGATGGCCTTCTCGAAGAGCTTGTAGAAGTACTTCTTGTAAGCGAGGCCAAAGTCGTCGTTCTCGTAGCCGAGGATGAGGTTCATGCCCGAGCCGTACACGATGACGCCGCGCGCGGTGACGGTGCCGGCGACGTCCTGCTCGAAGACGCCGCCCTCCTCGACGCCGTAGTCCTCGCCCACCTTGCCGGCGTTGAGCAGGATGCGGCCAGTCTTGTTGGTGGTGTCGTCGAGGTAGCCGTCCCGCGCCTTGGCGAGCATCACAACGACGCTGTCGAAACGCCAGGCGAGCCCCTTGTTGTTGATGAGGTCGAAGAAGCTGCCCGCTTGCGAGACGGCAGACACGTCGTTGCGGGCCATCTTCTTCTTCACGAAGGAGCCCAGGAGTTTCTTGACGTCGTCCGTCAGGAGGCCGGTCTCGTCCGGGACGTCGTCGAGCGAGATGTCTGACATGCCTTGGTCTGCAGCGGTGGGGAGGGGATGTGCGTCAGGTGATAGCGCTCTCTACCCGAGCGTGGCGCGGTGCGCTGCGTCGGCCGGTGCGCGAGCGTGGCCCGATAGCGGACAAGGCGGCGGCGCATACTCTGGGCCACGCCAGGGCCATGTGACGCGGAGTGAGCGATGGCGTGGGCCTGATGGGCCGTGGAGCAGCACACCAGCAGCAGCAGTAGTAGGTGGAATGAGGCGGAAGACGGACAAACGACGGACAAGATGCGGACAAGCGTGCGTCCTCGCATGTATGTTAGGTTTATAACATCGCACGGGTATGTTAGGTTTGTAAGATGGGTCTGTCCTCCTCCCATCCCTCGTTTGAATTGTCTGCTTTCTTTATGTATGTACAAGGAGCCGTCGCCCGCTCTGCCTTTCTTTGTTTGGTCGGTCGGGGTTAGTTAGTTAATTAGTGTATAGCGGTTATTCTTCATTCTTGCTTGGAAAGGTCCCAGGAGCAGGCAGACATCGCTTCCAGGGAGGGGGGCGCACTTCTCTGCACGCCCCCCCCCCCCCCCCAAGCCAGAAGCCTCTGTTAGGGTGCCCACAGGGCCCAAAAAAAGAAAGGAAAAAACAAATGGGCCACCCCCGATCGCAGCACTTCGTGTTGGCGAGTCGAGATATTGAGAGTGTGACTAGGAGGGTGGGACGCTGGGGATTCTCAAAGGTATACCCTTGGAATGGCCGGATCCAGCCTTAAAAGTACGAGATCGCGCGCGCTTCGCGCACAGCACCGCCTGTTCTCCGCGGCTGAGTGACGACGCGTGCCGTGTGCCAGCAGAGTTGGGCGCGCGCGGCGCGACGGCGCCCGCGAGGGAAGGCGCGGGTGCAGCGGCCGCCGGCGGCCGTACCGCCCGCCAGCCGGCGCAGCAGCGGCCAGCGCAGCGGCCGCCGGCGCAGCAGCCAGATCAGCCGGTGCGCGCCTTGCGAGGCGAGTACTGCCGCCCGGCAGCCTTGAGGCGGCCGGGCGGCAGTACTCGTTCGAACTTTGCGAGCCGTGCGCGCGCCGAGGCGCCCGCGGCGCGCGCCCGCCCGGCTGCCAGTAGGAGGCGGCGCAATATGGCCTATAGTACAGCCCTTGAGGAGGAGGAAGAGGCTGGCTGGCAGTGCTGTATGCCGCCGGGGGGCAGTTTTGGGGTGCTGTCCCCATCCCAGGGGGCTGCAGAAGGCGTCCGCAACCGGGACAACCCGCCCCCCCAGCCGAGGCCGGTCGAAGCCCACTTGGGAGCAGCCATGAGGAGTCCTCTTGGTGCTCCTGGCGGCCGTTGGAATGGCGAGCGCGCGCCGATGGGGGGGGGGGGGGGTCTTGCTTGCTCCACACCGAGCGCCATCGGTCCGGACCGGTGCTCCCACCGAGGGTCGGCTTGCACAAGGTCTGAGCCGCGGGCGCTCGGCGCCAAGCCTGCAGTGTCACGCTCGCACGCGAAGGGGACACAATGGGAAACCCTCGTTAGGGCCGCTGATCGGAATTCTTTTTGAATGAGCTTGCCTGCGGCGAGGGCGGTCGAGTGCACGGAGCTAAGTGCCTCGCCGTCGCCTCGCGGGAGTCGCTTAGGCGGCTCCAGTGGGGTACCTGTGTTAGTGCCAGTGCGCGCCAGTCCCGTGCAGTGTAAAAAGAAAGAAAGAAAACACACAACCCAAGGGAGGGATGGGAGGACGGCACGCCGCCACCACACAGGGATTTTAGGGGAGAAGTGTGGTGCTAGCCGTCGCCCACCCTCGGGCGTCTACCACTTTCTATCTCTCTTCGCAGTTTCTCACCAATTCTCGCAGCGACCTTCATGCCACCTCGCGTTCTTCCCACTCTCGTCGTTCTCTCTCCTGCTGTGTCAGGGAAAGGCACAATCAAAACGATGGGCTTGCCCATCCCGGAGTGGTTCGATCCCACACAAACCCGAGACGGTGACGGGAAGCGTCTCTGCGGTCTCAGGCCCAGTGAGGCAGTGCGCGGGCTAACCTGGATCCTGCTGAACAAGCTCTTCTTGTAGCTCGATCGGTCACACCGCCATCGCCGTCGGGGAGAGGGGGGACGACACTGCTTCGGCAGCGTGCACCTCGATCCTGTACCGTGTTTCTTATGACCCCCCCCAATGAACACTCCAGTGAGGGAGGGCGAGACGATCGAGGGGTCCCGTACCCGCGGAATCGACCCTATCCCGTGCTCAAGTGCTCAACAATGCTGTGATGATGATGCCGAAAGGAAACTGTGTTCGTCGCAAGCGGCCGTCCCAGAGAGTCCCACCAGTCCGCAGCTCTTCGACGACATCTCATGGACCACGAACACGGCCACGCGGTAGACGCAACGCGAAGGCAAACCTGCTGTCTCCTCCCTGGGTCCGAGCACTGCCAGCCGCTGCGGCGAGACACAAATGTGCTAGTGCTCGCAAGGCTCTCGGAGCTGCGTGCCATCTCCAACAGCAACCTCCTCCTCTCGCTGCTCTCGGCCACATTCCTTGGCACCCAAATTGTTTGCCTGATCACAGTCGCGACGCCGCACCGCGACCACGCAGAGACCGTCTTGTTCCACAGGATCGAGTTCATCTCGGCGTTTAGCTTTGCTTTGGTGACGGTCCTGTCTGTTGTGTGCGCGCCAGAGCGGCAGTACGCCTCGCAGATCCTGCTCAAGGTGCTCGTATTCTTTAGCGTCGGCAGCACCTGCGTCGCTGCGCTCCTCGTGATCGTCAACCTACACCGCTACGAGACGATTGCCCACGAGATTGAGTACACAAACGAGCTCTTCCTGGCGGGTGCAGAGTCGCTGGTTGTCTGCGCCATCCTGCGGGTGCAGGACCGGGCGGGCGGCAGACTGCTGGCGGGCGCGGCCGTCGTCTCATTGTGTGTGGCCGCCTCGCAGCTCGTCATCTACAATCACCCGGCTTGGGGGGAGAAGCCAGCGCACGTGCTCGAGTTCTCGTTCAACATTGTCTGTGCGTGCGTCACCTTTTGGTTTTGCATGGACAACATGGGGGTGGCGGACCGGCTGAAGCGCGAGATCATGCTGGCGCCCGAGGGCCTCACCGTCGTTATCGACAACTTTTCGCGGAGAGGGGTGCACGACCACGGCGAGGTGGGGTCGTACATGCCGCCGATCTCGCCACCAGGGCGACAGGTCACCCTTTGATTGCCTTTGAGATGCCACGAACTATCGGGTACGTTTCAACTTTCATATCTGCGGTGTCCCAGTGGACGCAACACATAAATAACGGGCGCACATCCGCAGTTCTAGCCGTGTACCCTAGTACTTCGTACAATGCATCATACACCGCCGCGCACACACACCGCACCGAGAGAGGAGACTCGTGGGAGGCGGTGGCGTCAGCCTGTCGAGTCGCACGTCACGCCTCGCTGCAGCTGGACCGCTCGGGAGAGGCGTTCGGCCCGGCGCTTCTGCTCGGCCTGCTGGCCCACGAACCAGTGGAGGAGCTCGTCGTGCATGTAGGAGCGGCGGATGACGGCGTACAGCCGGTACCCCCACGCCGACATGCACACGATGATGAGCGTGTTGGTCGCGGCGATGGCGGCGCCGTACGCAAACCGGTTGTAGTGCGACGCGGGGCTGCGCGGGTCGAGGCAAGTGATGGTGTGGACGCCGTCGAAGCGGGTGACGAGCGACTCGAGCTCGGAGCCTAGTTTGTGAAAGACGCGGACCTCAGGGAGGGGAGGCGGTATTGCAGCGTATTCAGGCGCACCGCGACGACGCATGGGAGTACAGTGAGATTACAGTGGAAGGCGGCGGAAGGCGGCGGAGTACGCGTCCTCTCGAGTGCTGGTTTGGAGACAAGAATACGTGTTCCCCTTCTAGGGCTCGGTGCCCCATGTGTGGTCGTTCATGTGCGCCCTCTCGAGCGCCTACTCACAGCTCGAGGTGTGAAGAGACGCCGTCCCCATGTGTGGTCGTTCATGTGCTCCCTCTCGAGCGTGCCGGGTACGGAGTGGGAAGCCTCGCCGGCATGCCGACGTACAGCACGATGAGCAGCACCTGGCGGGAGGGGGAGGCGTCGTCTCGCCGGCCTCCCCTGCCCGCCGCCGCCGCCTGCCCGCCTGCCGCTCTCGCTGTCTCTCGCTGTGCTTCCGTGTGCGGTGGCCCGAGCGCGGTGCAAGTGCTTCTTTCCGGACGTGCCCCTGCCCATTCTATGAGCGAGCACCGCGGAGAGGGCAAAGGAGGCGTACGAGACGACGAATAGGCGGTTGAGGGAGGAGAGATGGCGGCGCGTGTTGGCCACCGCCGCGCCAGTGCTCACAAGCAACGCTGACTCCTGTGCCGCTTGCTTGATGTAGAGGACGAGCGAGACGATGATGCCGCCGCAAGAGATGCAGAGCGCGATGGTGACAAAGAAGACGGCGGCGAAGGCGAGGTGATACCACGTCTTCCAGACTGCAGGCGCATGGGTGCAAAAAAACAGTTAGGGACGCGCGTGCTGTGATGTGGCTTCGCGCTTTCTTTAGGTGTGAGAGGGGTCCGGCGCACTGCAGATCTGGGAGTCGTCCTCCAGCAGCGGCTTGAGCGTCGCACCGCCCCACATGCTGAGGGCAAAGCCAATCAGCAGCGTCGCCTGCACGGAGAGGTTGTCCATCTGCGTCTGCAGCACGCCGAGCTGCAGCATGTCAACCTGCATCAGCGATACGGCGTTCTGCTGGTGCACGGACTGGGCGTTGACATTCGCCCACATATGTCCGCGGCGAGACGGCGGTGCGGCTGCGGGCAAGCACAGGGACTCCGCCGCGGACTCCTTCCCACCGCGGAGGCAGCGTCCTTTCACGACGGAGGGTGGGGTGAGGTGCTTGTGAGAGCGGTGTTTTCTGGAGCGTCTTTTCAGTGTATGTAGCTCTTATTACGTACATTCCCGCAGGAGGACTCTGCTGACAGGGTTTGCGATGAGGAGCGACCCGAAGGGTTTCTCGGAGGTTAGTGCACCACTAACCGCAACAACAAAGGTATTGCTAAAAATCTCTCTCTCTAACCGCCGAAGCGCAAGCACTTGGAGCAAGAGAACTACGACCTGGGTCGGTCTCATACTAGCACCCCACCTCGCGAGCCGACGGCCTGGCTCAGCGAGGTTGCTGCGGAGCACTCGCGGACCGGTTCTTCTTGGTCCAGCGAGGCCGCTGCGGGGCACCCGGCGGCTCGGGTCACTTCTCAGCGCAAACTCGGTCGAGCAGGAGGTAAGGTGTGTGTGTAAAGGCGGCGCGGCACGGTAAGGGTCGGTGGTAAGGCGGCGCGGCGGCAACAGACGGCAGGCAGGGCATCGGACGGCGGTTTTCTTGTTTTTTTTTCAGGTTTTTGTTTTGCTCAAGTGTAACTTTCTCCGGGCGGTGTCAGCCCGAGCCTGACTGTTCTTCGCTTTCATACATGCATGCACTTTCTGCATAACAGCAACCTCTAACCAAAGCCACCTGCGGAGAAGCGCGGCAGCACGGCGTCGATCCCCTCCAGCGTCTCCAGCAGCCGGCCGAGCGCGGACGGCGCCTCCTCCCCCTCCTCTGCCGTGTCGTCGTCGTTGCGCCGCCGCCGCCTCGCGTACCGGCGGAGGAGGAGGGAGCGCACCCCACCGAGGAGGAGCGGCCGGAGTAGCAGCTGCAGCAGCAGCCTCCTTCGGTGGCGCAGCTCCTCCTCGTTGTCGGGCGACGCGCTGCCGGCCGCAGCGGAGCAGCCAGCGGCCGAGGCGCCGCCCGCCCCGCGGCTCGCCCGTCGCGCGAGCGTCGCCGCGCGGCGGCAGAGGAGGTACGCCGACCCCTCGACGGCGAGGGCGGCGAGCCACACCGTCCACTCGCCGCGCCTACACGGAGGGCACCGCACACGTCGCGGACTGCTGGCCCGCAAAGGCGTTCGCCTCCTCCTCCTCCGCACGGGCCCTCGCCTTCGGCCGCGCGTGCCGAGCCCGGAGAGGCGGAGGGAGAGGTGGAGGAGCGGCTGCAGGATGTGCACCGCCTCGCCCGTCGCCATGAGCACACCCACGAGCCCGGACGGCGCGGCGCTGCCCAGCCGCAGCTCGAGCGCGTCCGCGAGCTGGTCGATGAGGCTTGCAGGCGGCGGGGTGGGCGGCGGGGCGGGCGGCGGGGCGGGCGGCGGGGCGGGAGAGGCGCTCGGTGACCACCTCGCACGGCGGGCTCTCGTGCAGCCGCCGTCGGGCGGCGGCGGGACGGCAGCGCGGCACCCCGGCCGCTGCGACGGCGACTGGAAGGGCGGCGGCCGTGGGCGCGACGGAGCCGCGGCGGGCGGCTCGTCGGCAATGGACCGCATCAGCGAGCCGTGGTTCTGCAGCGCGAGCAGCCGCAGGCGGCAAGCCGCCTTCCACGCCTCGAGCGCAGCCACTGCGGCCCACCAGCCGCGAGGGCCGGCGACGGTGTCTGCCACCGCCTCGACGTAGAGGTCGGCGGACTGCAGCCACTCGAGCAGCGAAGCGAGGCGCGTGGCCTCCTCCTCGTCGGGCCAGCGGCGGCGGCTGGCCATGTGCTCCGTGCTCAGAACAAAAAGAAAAGATAATACCCCAAGGCGCTCAAAAGAAAAGACGGCTAGCGCATCACACTCCTCTCCTTAAAATCCCTGTGTGGTGGCGGCGTGCCGTCCTCCCATCCCTCCCTTGGGTTGTCTGTTTTCTTTCTTTCTTTCTTTCCTCTAGAGATTCTCAATCTACGGGGGTGTCGTCCCTACGCGCCCGTCGGTCGTGTGGTGAACCTCTGGGCTCTGGCCCGGGCCCTCTCTCTCCGAGTCGCGGATCCCGCCCTAGCTGCGTGTGTGAGAGAGATTTTTAGCGTGTGTGGGCGGGTGTGAGCGTGTCGGCATCTTCGCGGGCGCATTTTGCTTGCAGCCTGGTATTTCGTTACCCATTTACTAGCACACAGACATCAGTAGACATCGAATTTGGCGAACTACGGCTAGAGCTAGGGCCGGCGTTTGTAGCGGCCCGCCTCCATCCATGCGTCCACGACAGCGTCCGCCATGTCGGCGTCCCGTGAAGTCTGGCGCTCGAAGAGGGAGTCGAACCCTTCTGGGTCGGAGAGGTAGAGCGGAGGACGGGGTCGTCGTCAATCATCTGCGAGCAGGCGGTTTGAGGAGTGTGATCTATGGAAGCCAAGGGCCTTGGGCGCAGGGCCGCGCTCGCCGAGGGAGTTTCGAGCGGCTCTGATGCCTCGATCTCGTCAGCCACGATGAGCGAGTCGCAGTCCAGGGGCGACTCGATGCTGATGTCCTCCGCCGGCGGCGAGAGTAGCGAGGTGGCGGAGGCGACAGTCGGTTCGGCGATGGCGCACGGCGATAGCAACTCTGTCGTGTGCATGCACGGCCGAGGCCGGAGGCGAAGTCGTGACACCTGCGATGTAACAGCGGTGACTAAGCACACGGAGAGGCCCGTGCGAAGCAAGCCTTGTGCATGCTGTCTCGCCTTTCTCCGCCGTCGCCGTTGAAGTTCCTGTGCCGTCGCTGGCTGAGGCGACCTCGAGATAACCAGGCCGTGTGTCGAAGCAGCGAGGAGCATCATAACAATCGCACACCGCATCTCGCCGCTTCTGTGGTTTGTCGGAATGGGAAGGACAAGCGCGCGAGTTGGCGAGGCTGTTTATCGACCTTCCCAAAAAAAATCGAAGAGCGTGTCAACATTGCGTGTCAATCTGTGAAGCATCCCTGGCCAGGCCGTGGATGTGAGAAATTGCCCTAAAAATGCTCGAAAGTGCGTGACATCATTATCTCATAAGGACGTGGACCGACCTTGTCAGGACCCATTTCGCCTCGCCAACTCGCGCGCCGCCTCGATACACAATGCCTCCGCTCGCTGCCGCCTTCCTGCTCGCGCGCCTGTTACAGCCTGCGGCCGGGTGGCTCTACGCGGAAAGTGTCTCCGATCCTGCCAACGCGCAGAACGTGACGTGCAGCCTGCACAACGAATTCCTCTGCAGCGACTCTCCTTTCGCCGAGCGACCGTGCGAGCAGTTTGGAAGCACAAACTGGACCCTACCGATCCTGCACAAGTACTTGGAGGCCGCGATCGCGGTCGAGTTCTTCACGATCCCCTTGTACCTAACGGCAGGGTACTCTCTGCACGAGTCGCAGCAGGTCATGGTTGGCCAGCCAGGCTACGATAGCAACTCTGTCGTGAAGGTTCAAGCCAAGGGTGCGTACCTTAACTCGACGACCAACACGCGTGTCAACATCACCAACGCCTTCACGCCCTACGAACTCATCCACGCCACTTTCATCGACGAGATGTACCACCTGAATTGGATCTTGAACGTGGCGAGCGCCGCCGGCCTTCCCAACGCGAGCTTCGAGAGCGCGCTCAAAGAGCCAGACTTCACCAACGGCGCATACTTGGACACGCTGCCGGTCAAGCTGAGTAGCAAGGAGCTCGGCTACGAGGGCTCTGGCGCGCTCGACTCCGTCATCGCTACGATGCTCGCGATTGAGACGCCCGACAAGGTGGACACGAACCCGGGCTTTGTGTATGGAGTCCCGCCGTCGCCACCTGGGTCAGCTGCTGACTGCGGTCACTGCCCGAAGGTTGAGGTCTGCCCAAAGGACGCTGACTGTGAACTCAGGCTGAAGGCAGGGGCGTACGCCTCCATCTCAGACTTCTACTATGCGCTGTGGGAGGGCCTGATCGCGCTCAAATCGGAGATTCAGTGGCCGAAGGATGGGCACCGCCAGGCTCTCTTTGGGGACCACGCGGGGCAAAACCTTTTGGCTGTGACGGACCTGACCACCGCGCTGGGCAACATTCTCGCAATCGTGTACGAGGGCGAAGGCGCCGATGCTCGCATCATGGGGAGCGCGCATGTCATGATGACGAGGGGCGTGCTGCCGGAGGAGTACATCGCTGACAAGAAGGACGTCGCTAGCAATGTGAATAAGGAAAATGTTCACGCCTACACGCACTACGATCGCTTCCTCGCCATCAGCGAGGCCTCAAAGACAACCCTCAAGAATGTGTCACGCCCTCTCAATCAGTATCCTTGCAACCTGGGGAAACACGGGTGCGGGCGTGAAACGATTCTGGCGAACAAGAAGCAACATGAGCAGTACCGCTTGCTGCTGAAGGACATCGTGGACGCCTACACGATCAAAAAGGAGAACGACCTGGCGCTACCTACCAAGTATACTGGCGCTCTTTCCCATCACATGTTCAAAGTCGGGGACCTGACGCAGAAACTTGAGGCAGGGCCGATGCCAAAGGGGTCGAAAACGTCGTGCCCTTACGCGAATCCGTGGTGGTAAAAAACCAGTGAGCGGTCCCCTCCGGAGCAGCGCAGTGCGGTGTGGCTGTGACATTGGCGATTGGAGCCTCGTTGTTACCACGCGCTCTTGACGCACACCATGCTAAATGGCTGCCTGCTATGTCTACTGCTGAATTTCGTGTGTCGAGTCTCGTGCCGCTGGCCCGCTGCCGGTGTGTGTACTCACTAGTTTAGAGTAGTAGAAGCAACTTTAGCTCAACCTTAGCTCCAAGATCGGGCCCCTGTCAATGCCCGAAAAGCTGATCCTGAATCAAAATGAAGGGCGAAGAGATCCGGATCCATGGGAGTGTTCAACTTCCGGCTCTCACGAAAATATTTAGTTCTTGATGTGGCATCTCGTCCTCTCGAAGAGACACCTCGGACCCGAGAGGCGAGTCGCGTCCTCCCAGACCTCGCGACACTCGCGCGCGCGGGCGCGACGTAGTGAGCTGCCGCCGCACAGCGTTGTACACATGGGAACTCCATGGGAACACGGCCGCAATGATGACTCAAGACCCGTGCCGGCCCGGTGCCGAGGTGCGAGAGGAGAGCGGCGGGTGCGATCAGAGGCCCTCTCAGAGTATGTGTTATAAACACGCGTCGGCCCCGCACTGGCAGACGTGCGTCATGGGGGCACACACAGACAGCAACCGTGCGCCGGGGCGGCGGGGCCCGAGCACACTGCAAGCACACACAGCGGAGTTAGCAAATCTGTGACGCCGCTTTTCCAACCCACCCATCACTACATGTCACATCTCGAACGGCCTGTGGTTGCCGCTGAGCTCCGCCTCGAGCGCGTGGAAGAGCGCCATCTCCTCCTCCGCCGGGTCGGCCGCCTCTTCGCGGAGACGGCCGACGAGGGTGTACTTGTCGTGCCACTCGTACAGCTCGACCCACCGATGCGCCTCGCGCCTGAGGCCCGGCGAGGGAAGAGGCGCTGAGCGCCGACGGCGGGAGAGGTGGGCCGCGCGGGGATATGAGCTGGCCCCGCGCCTCTGCGTCTCGGAGAGGTGGGCGGTCGACGAGATGAGGCACGAGGGCGCGAGGCATCCGGTGCAAAAGGCTCTAGTGGCGTCCTTGCCGACCAGCTTGTGGTACGACTTGCCCGGCCCGTAGAAGGCGCCGCCGCTGCTAACGTCGTACACCCGACCGAGGACAGACAGGTAGAGCGGCGACGGAGAGCCGTCGGGGAGCGGCCGGCCGTCAAACTCTGCGAGCTCGTCCCGCGTGAAGGAGATGCAGCCGACGCAGCTGTCCGGGTCGCCCAGCGGCAGCGGCTCCTCCTTCCCCAGCAGCAGCGGCACCAGAGCGTATCGCTGGTTGAAGCGGCGCCGGCGTGCCTTTGCACGAGAGATGTCGCGGGCGAAGCGCATGAGTGCAAAGTTGAGGCCGCTGAGCGGCTGCGTCATGCCCTGGTGGGTAAGCGGCCGGCCCGCGACGGCCGCGCTGGCCACCAGCCCGAGCGGCACGAGGACGGACAGCGAGAGAAGGAAGAGGCAGACATTCTTCAGGCAGCCGGTCCTCGCGTCCCGAGACTTCTCTAGCGGAGCCAGCAGCTTGTCGCTCATCGTCGCTGTTGTCATCGTCCGGGTCATCGTCATCGTCGGCCTGGCAAAGGCGGCGTCGATCACTTTCTTTTTCTGGATTTAGCGCGAGGGCCTCGATCCGTTCCCACCCTAAAAGGCTACGGGGAGAAATAGTTTTGTTTAACTAAGGAAACCGAATAATCCAAGGCGTGACAAGGAGTCCGCACGATCATTGAGAAGTGCGCGCCCGACGAAAGGACGAGAAGATTGCGTACATGAAGCTCACGACAGCCCTCCTCGCCTCCCTCGCGCTCTCCGAGGCCGCGCCGCTCCACCGGCAGCTAGACGCGCAGCCCATCGACCGGAGCATCATCACCTGCACTGACAACGACTACCGCGTCGGCAACACCACAGTCTGCTCGTCGCCGGTGGCAACAACGACGTGCGCTGCCCTCCTCAACGACGTCGTCGAACCGTGCCTGTCGAAGAAGGCAAAGAACCCTGGCCAGTACACGACGTACGATCCGCTGTCGTGCCCCTCAGTTGGTCCGGCTAAGGTCGGATGCAACGCCGGTGGCATCAAGTCCTGCCGCTACTGCGGCTACAAGGAAGGCGACATCGAGTACGCGTCCTGCTCCGGAGACACAACGGACTCGGAACTGGGCAAGCTAAAGGAACTGCGCAAGCTAGAGGAACTGCGCGAGCTAAAGAAAGGGATCACGCTCGATGATGTACTCGGCCTCCCGGTTGCGGTCGACTGCGCCAAGTTCTATGACGATCTGAAGCTGATCCAAGAGGCTGGCTGCACGCTCGATGCCCCGTCATTCGACCCATTCATCGCAAACCCCGCGACGGCACCCAACCCAAAGTGCCCGCCGCGCCTTCACCAACTCTACATGTCGTACGGAGCCGACAAGAGGTTCGGCACCCAAACGGCAACAAACTCCCAGGGCGTCAGCTTCCCGAATGCACAGTGCTCCAAGCACCTCGGCCGGGAGATGGGCTTTGGCGTCGCAGGCGAGCTTGCAACCATTGAGATCACCGCAAAGACAATGGCGATGCGCATGCTCAAGCCGGCGACCTTTCGTGCGGACAACGGTATCCTCAACTGCTGCGAAGTTATTGAGGATCACTCCGACTGCAGACCGTGCGCGAACGTGAGCACCAACAGCATCGCGAACCCGCGCACCAAGACGCTCCAGCCGGGCGCTGCGCTGACACCGCCGCTGACCTACGAGTACCAGGTCCCGGCGGCGATGCAGCCGCAGCTTTCGTCCTACCAGGGTCAGCGCACGAGCCGCGTGATGAAGGGCATGCACGGCAAGGGCCAGACCTGCCTCGGCGCAAAGTTCTCCTTCGGTCCGCTCAGGGAGCTGTACGACGCGAACAAGCAGGAGGGCGAGTCGGGCTTCATCCCCTACGCCATGCGTGTCGGCCTGCTCGACCCAAAGCTGGCCAAATCGGGCGCGACCTTCGACACTCTCGTACGGCTGAGCGGCAACAAGAATTTTACCGTCAAGGACGTGCACGACGTGCGCGTGCGCGGGTTTGCGCTCAAGTTGATGGACGCGGCAAAGCACTTTGAGAGCGACGACGCCGCCTGCGCCAAGGGAAAGGCGTCCAACTGCCAGCTCAAGCTCGCCGACATCCCGGCGTACAACCAGCCGAAGGACGCGCAGCACGTGTTTGGGGACTTCGACTTTACCGCGGCGCAAGAGGAGGGGCACATCGACCTGCTACACGTCGCAATCGGCACCGGCAAGAACTCAGTAGCAACAGACCACATCGGTGCGTTCAGCACCGCCGGGCCTGATTGCACCGCCGCTTCTTGTGAATCCGCCAAGAACCCGCCCGCAAACATCTTCGTCGCGGCCAACGTCGACAACTACTACAACGGCTTCGTGCTGGGCGGCCGCCCCGACCCACGCCTCGACGAGCTGACCGACACGTACCAGAACCCGCTCGAGTACGTCTACGGCTCGGCGTCGGCCCTGCGGCTCGGCCCCGGCGCCATGAAGCTGCATTGGGCGGCCTGCCCGGGCGAGCTGACGGAGAAGAAGCTTGTGCAGAACGTGTACCCGGATCCCAAGGTTGATATCGCGAGGGGGAGGATCCCGGCCGCGTGGGAGGACCCCAACTACCAGCTCACCAACCTGCGCGAGACGATCGAGAAGCTCGAGGCGAAGGGCGCAAAGGAGTTCAAGATGTGCGGCTACATCCAGCTGCAGGATGACGCGTGCATGGAGGACATCGAAAACCCCACGAAGCGCTGGCCCACCGAGTCGATCAACGTGTTCGAGCTGAGCTTCCCGCTCCAGGCCGTGCCCGACTACAACACCTTTTGCGACAATACCGTCTTCCAGCCGTACCGCACCATCGCGGAGCACATGCCGCTCGGCTACGTCAATCGCGTCCGCCAGGCGGTCTACCAGTACGCCAATCAGTTCCGCCTCATCCTCAACAACGGGGTGACCCAGACCGAGCACGGCGACTCCATCGGCCAGGCCACATGTCCAATGGGCTACTCTCACATCCCCAAGGGGGGGCGACCCAAGTACCAGGGCCAGCCCATCCTCAGCGCGTCGCAGAAGTTTGAGGTGGATGCTCTCGGCGGGCCGGCGATGCCTGACGCCGGCATCGGCGAGTACCAGCTGGCCGGAGACTCGTCGAGCGGCAGCTGCCGCACCGACAGCGAGTGCAAGCTGGCCTTCGGCGAGGGCTCGTACTGTAAGACGGACCTTGGCTGCATGGCGGAGAACAAGTGCGTGTGCAAACTACCCGCGCCCAGCGCGTAGTGTGGTGTGCGAACGCCGCTCACCGGCGGCGCGTGCCCCATTGGTGCGTGGCCATTGGGATGGCCGCAGTGCTCTTGGGGGGATGTTCATTGCAGCACCTCGTGCATGTTTACTAGACACAAGGTTGAAGAAATTTCTTCAAAATGCGCCACGTGCCTCCCTTTGCCAAAATCCTCAATGTGCACAATGGCTCAATTCCTCAAAAAGAACGCACCCTCGCTGGAGTACGCCCTCCTCCGCGCTCCGGGAGTGCAATGTGGCCGCGCAGCCTGCGGGGAGGCTAGTGCCTGTGGGGCCGCCCTCCGATCCGATATTGGATATAGGGAAGCATAGCAGCAAAGAAAGAAACACGCTAGTGCCACATCGTCTCGGCCCCGCGCCTCCTACCCCACTACCCACGAAGGTCCTGCGAGGAGCCAATCATCTCCGCGCAGCGACCCCACCCCGGCGACCGGCGACCCGAGACACGCCCTCGGCCGCTCCGCGCACACTGCCGCGGCTCACTGCTCGGCTGGCTGCTCCGGCGCCCCGCCCGACGGCGCCATCGTCGGCGTGAAATACTTGGGCGCATCGCCGCCGCCGCCGCCGCCGCCGCCGCCGCCCGGCGTGAAGACCTTGAAGGCCGGCCGCGCCGGCGGCGGCGGCATGCGGTCGCTATCGGACGGCTCTGGCGCCGCGCCCCCCGCGTTGAAGGTGTCGACGTAGCGCGAGCGCGCCGCGCGCCGGTTCGAGCTCCGCGCCGAGAAGCGCGCAGAGCCGGTCGGCACGGCGACACCGCCCGCGAGCGGTGTCTGCGGCGCCCCGCCCGGCGCAGGCCCGCCCGGCGCGGCCGCTCCGCCGCCAAGGTCGCCTCCACCACCTCCGCCCACGCCGCCTCCTGGCCCGCCGCCCCCGCCCTCCCCGGCGGTGGGCGGCGGCGGCGGCGCCGAGAGGTTCTCCTTAGCCCACTCGTCTGGGTCCTTGTCAGACGGGATCCACGCCTAGGAAGTGTCTAGGGAGTGTCTAGGAAATGTCCAGGAACTGTCTAGGAACTGTCTAGGAGACGTGTCGGACGGGAGCCACGCCTTGTACTTTTCGTTGTACTTGATCTCGCACTGGTCCTCGAGCTGCGTGTCCTTCTTGCGGAAGAAGCTCGAGAAGAACCCGCCCGATCTGCGGCAAAGTGAGGTAGGGTGTGTGTGTGGTGGGGGGGGAGGGCGGGGGGGGGGGCTGCTCAGCCCTCGGCGACTCTCGTCCAATCGCATCTTCTCTCTCTCGTCGAGTGGCGCACCGCTTCGAGCGGGGGCTCCCGTCCGCGTCCGCGAGCGAGGCGCTCGCAGGCGCGTCCGCCGCGGGCTCCGGAGCCTCGCGCATGCTTGGCGCGCTGGGCGGGCGCGGCTCGGCCATGTCCGGGGCGGCGGGCGGCTCGGCGATGGGGGGGGGGACGTACGCAGGCATGGTCGAGGAGAGGTGCAGCTCGCTGGCGGCGTGCGCCTCGGCCGTCGCGGGCGGCTCCGGAGGCGCCGCCTCCTCGCGCGGCCCCCCTGCAAGGTAGCCGTGCGGCTGGTCTGGGTAGGGAGGCTGCTCCGGGTACGCCTCTTGCTGCGCAAAGGCTGGCTCCTCTGCGGCGGGCTCGGCTTGCTGCGGCTCGGCCTCGGGCTGTGCCGCGCCGGGCGGCGGCTCCCAGGAGGACTCGCCCGTCAGCGTGTTGTACCAGTACGCCTCCCCCTCTGCCGTGGTCTCCTGCACCCACCCCCCCTGCGGCGCCTCGCCCTCCGCCGCGTACCCCTCCTGCGGGTACTCGCCGCTGCCCGCGTACCCCTCCTGCGGGTACCCCTCCTGCGGGTACCCCTCCTGCGCGTACCCCTCCTGCGGGTACCCCTCCTGCGGGTACCCCTCCTGCGCGTACCCCTCCTGCGGGTACCCCTCCTGCGGGTACCCCTCCGCCGCATACCCCTCCTGCGCCGCGTGGGCGAGAGGCTCCGCGAGCGCCGCCGACCCCTCAGAGTACCCGTCCGCAGCGGCGGGGTACCCTCCTCCGTCAGCGAGCTGCCCCTCGCCGGCGGCGGGGTCCCTCTCCCCCGCGCCCTCCGTCGCCCCGCCGCCCGCGCCGAGCTGCTCGTGCAGCTGCCGCAGCCGCGCGTCAAAGCCGTCCGGCAGCGGGCCGCCGAGAGCCCTCCGCCGCTCGAGCTCGGCAGCATACCTAAGGTAAGGTAAGGTAAACTTCTCCACACACACGAGGTGGTGGGGCAAGGGGGGGCAACCCTCGCGTCTCCACGTCTAACGACAGGAGCCCCACGGCATTTAAAGTGCAAGGCCCGGTGCGCGTGGGTGAGCGGTGTGTGTGTGTGTGTGTGTGTGTGTGTGTGTGTGTGTGTGTGTGTGTGTGTGTGTGTGTGTGTGTGTGTGTGTGTGTTCAGCATACCTCGCCGCCGCGTCGGCCTCGCCCGCGCCAAGCAGCACGTGCGCGTAGAGCAGCAGGCCCGGCGCGATGCCGGCGTCGTCGAAGTCGGGGTCGAGGGAGGCGCGCGACGCGGCGTACAGCTCGGTGCCCCGGATCGAGTGGAGCGAGGGGAAGCCGCGCGCCGCCTGCCGCTCGTCGTGCCCGAGCAGCTGGAGCCTGCGCCACGAGCGCACGTGAGTGACTCGGGGCGTGCGTACGGCCCCGTGCACCGTGTTCGGAGCACTGATCACAAGGGTTCGGGTTCGGGTTAGGGTTTGGGTTCGGGTTCGGGTTAGGGTTAGGGTTCGGGTTCGGGTTCGGGTTCGGGTTCGGGTTTGGGTTCGGGTGAGGGTGAGGGTGATCACAAGGGACGGCGACGAAGACAGCAGCGTATATGCGTCTCGAGGGCCAGTCTGGAGCTCTCGCGTCCTGTCCCACATCTAGCAGCTGGAGCCGCGGCTGCTCTGCGTGCGGCAAGGCGCCGTCGGGCAGCGGCAGCGGTGTCTCGGCGAGCAAGTAGCAGCAGTGCGCCGCGCACGCGCCCGAGGCGGCTCGGACCGAGTCTCCCAGCTGGGTGATGACCTCCGTGTCGTCGGTTGTCGGGTTGGCGAGCATCATCGCCTGCGGTGCGCATGTCGTGGACGCGTCGTGCACACGCGCCGTGGACACGCCATCTACGGCTGGCGAGCAGCGTCGCCAAGTTCTCGGCCCAGCGCGCCGCGAGAGGCGACTCGGTGGCGCCCGACGGCGGCGCGAGCACCTGGCAACAGCCGAGCAGGGTGGTGGTGAGGAGAGGGACGACACGCCGAGCCGCCAGCCGACAGCGGGAGTGGCGCACCCCCGGCCCGCTGCCGGCAAAGAGGGAGTAGAGAGTGGCGAGCGGGCTGCCCGCGACGGACACCTCCGCGGCGTACCTCGCCATGACGGTCTTCCACATGGCGGCGTCGATGTGCGAGGAGAGGAGCAGCGCGTCCGCCCACAAGCCGCACCCCATCGCGTGCTCGCAAGCCTCCTCGCGCCGGCCAGCCAGCAGCAGCGCCTACGGCGCCACGCGACCACGCGTCGCACACGAGCGAGCCTCCTCCTCCTCCCGCGATCGCCGAGCAGCTTCCCCGCGCCTCCAGCTCGCGCGCGGCGCCGGCGCGCGCCGCCTCCGTCTGAGCGGGCGGCGGCGCGTGCGGGCCAGAAGCGCCGCCAGCCGGCGGCGGCGACGCCTCCGCGAGGGCGGAGAGCAGCTCGCTCGCCGCTGCGTCGCCGCCGCTGCCGTCGAGTACGCCGTCGTGCTTGACGAGCAGGTGGAGCAGCCTCCACAGCAGCCGCGCGCCGCCGTCCGCTCCTTCGAGCTCTCCCGCCCGCGCGGCGGTGTAGTCGAGGAGCCAGCCGCGGCTCGCGGTGTACGTCGCCTGGGCGGGGAGGAGGGGGAGACGTAAGGCGGCGGCGGCGGGGGGGCGGTTGGGGGGGGTGGGGGGGGGGGCTGGGGCCCGCCGGGGCGGCACATCGACTCGCCAGCACATCGGAGGTCTCGGGGTGTCTCGGGTCGTCTCGGGGGGCCTCGGGTCGTCTCGGGGGATCTCGAGTGATCTCGGGGGATCTCGAGTGATCTCGGGGGATCTCGGGGGGCCTCGGGGGGCCTCGGGGGGCCTCGGGCGATGTGGCTCATCTCTCGGCCGATCTCCGCGCCTCGTCGAGCGGGCCGGGGTACTCTGCGAGGAGGGAGGCGTCCTCCGCCGCCGCGAGGGGAGGGAGCCGGAGCTCACCGTCTGCGAGCCAGCTCTCCAGGTCCGACGCGACGCCCTCCTCAGCCGGGAGCGGCGGCGCGGGCGCGGCGGCGGCCGGCGGGGGCGCGGCGGCCACGGGGAGGGCGGGCGCGGCGGCGAAGGGAGGAGCGGGCGCGGCGGGCGCGGCGGGCGCGGCTGGTGCGGCTGGAGGGGCTGGAGGGGCTGGAGGTGCAGCGGCGGTCGCGAGGAGCGGCAAGTTGGGCGGGCTGCCTCCAAGGAAGGAGGCGACGAGCGAGTCGCTATCGTCCGAGGCCTGCAGGAAGGTTCAGAGAGGGTTCAGAGAAGGTTCAGAGAAGGACCCGCCACGACAGAGCCTGCGTGCTGCATACGCCGACATGAGGGCGGGAAGACGGGGTCTTGTGCAGCGTGTTCAGGAGCACCGCGTGAAGACGACGGGTGGGAGTACAGTGGGAGTACAGTGAGATTACAGCGGAAGGCAGCGGAAGGCAGCGGAGCACGTGTTCTCTCGAGTGCTGGTTGGGGTACAGGAATACGTAGTCAAGCATCTAGGGTCCGAAGCCGGCGCGGAGACGACTTGGCCGGCGGACGGCTCCGGCGCGCCCCCGGCCTGCGCGCTGTCTGCGGCCGGCGGCGCCTCGCCAAAGGACAGCGAGTCGGCGGCCGGAGGCTCGTCGAAAGGAAGGGGTGCCTCGGGCGGCGGGTGAGGCGCCGGCTCCGGCTCGGCCTGCTGGGCGGGCTCGGCTTGCTGCGGCTCGGCCTCGGGCTGTGCCGCGCCGGGCGGCGGCTCCCAGGAGGACTCGCCCGTCAGCGTGTTGTACCAGTACGCCTCCCCCTCTGCCGTGGTCTCCTGCACCCACCCCCCCTGCGGCGCCTCGCCCTCCGCCGCGTACCCCTCCTGCGGGTACTCGCCGCTGCCCGCGTACCCCTCCTGCGGGTACCCCTCCTGCGGGTACCCCTCCTGCGGGTACCCCTCCTGCGGGTACCCCTCCTGCGGGTACCCCTCCTGCGGGTACCCCTCCTGCGGGTACCCCTCCTGCGGGTACCCCTCCGCCGCGTACCCCTCCTGCGCGCCGCCGTGCCCGTTCTCGCCCGGCGCGTGGAAGAGGCCTACAGGAAGGTTCAGAGAAGGCTCAGAGAAGGTTCAGGGAAGGTTCTCGCCCGGCGCGGGGAAGAGGCCGTCAGACTCCGCCAGCTCCTCTGCAGGGGCCGCCTGCAGACGCGGCGTGGGCGTGTCGCGGGCGTGTCAGCGGGCGGATGTCACGTGCCGAGGGCGGCGGCGGTGCACGTAGAGTGGCGGTGGCGGTGGCGGGTGGCGGTGGCGGTGGCGGTGGCGGTCTCGGAAGTGTCTCGGAACTGTCTGCTGCCTCGTCCTCGTCAGGGGGCGTCCAACGCGACTCGCCCGTCACGTAGTTGAACCAGTACGTGTGCCCGTCGGGCGTCTGGTCCGTCCCCCACTCGCCCGCCTCGTCGGTCGCACCAACCTGCTCCTCCCCCTCCCCCCTCTCGCCTTCGCCGGCAGGGGACAGGCCAGGCTGGTGGCCGGGCTGGCCAAGGCCGGGCTGGCCAAGCCCTGAGTAGTCGGACGGCCAGCCTGAGCCGGAGGAGACGTCTGCGCCGGGCTCCTGTCCCTCGAAGAGAGAGGACACGCCCAGCGGGGACTCCTTGGCAGCCTCCGCCGCCGCAGCCTCCGCCGCCGCAGCCTCCGCCGCCGCAGCCTCGGCAGCAGCCGCCTCAGCAGCAGCCGCCTCGGCAGCAGCCGCCTCGGCAGCAGCCGCCTCGGCAGCAGCCGCCTCGGCCGCCGCCGCTTCGGCCTGGCGTGCAGCCTCCGCCTCTGCAGCGGCAGCTGCCGCCGCCTCCTCGGCTTCCCGCCGCGCCTCCTCCTCCGCGGCCGCTGCAGCCGCCAGGCGGGCAGCCTCCGCCTCCGCCTCGGCAGCAGCAGCAGCGGCGGCGGCGGCGGCGGCGGCGGCCTCGGCCGCCGCCTCCTCTTCCGCCCAGCGCGCCTCCTCGGCCGCCGCCTCCTCCTCCGCCGCCTGGCGCTCCGCCGCCTCGCGAGCCGCCTTTGCCGCGGCCTCTTCCGCAGCCGCGTGCCCGTTGCTGCCCGCGGACGCTGCCTCCTGGCTTGCATCAAAGAGGCTGCTCGCGCCAAAGCTGGCCTCGCCGCCGCCAAACAAGTCGCTCCCTCCGCTGCACGCGTCCAACGCGGGGAAGGAGCCGGCGGGGGCGGGGGGCGGCGGGCCGCGGCCGCTGGGCGGCCCCGGGGCCGGCGGGCCGGATGCGGCCGAGGCCGCAAACAGCTCGGAGGCCGCAAAGGGAGCAGCCGCCTCGCCCCCAAACAGGGAATTTGGCTGCGGCGGAGGCGCCGCCCCTGGAAGGGCCGCAGCGACGCCGGGCCGATGGGGAAAGGGAGCGGCAGCGGTGGCTGCGGGCGGCGCCTTTGGTAGCCCGCCCGCCATCGGAGCAGGCGACGGCCTGCGCGGCGGCTGCATCCGCGGCGCCACAGCCTGCTGCGGTGGCCGGCGGAGCGCCGTGCCGGCTTGCGGTACCGCGGGCTGCGGCCGGAAGGGCGGCGACGGCGCACCCCGCTGCACCAGGGAAGGTGGTGGGGCGCGCATCGGCGCGGCACCCGGGCGTGCGGGTGGAGCGTATGGGCGCGGTGCGCTGGCTCGCATCGGCTGCGCCGCCATCCCGTACGGCTGCGGAGCTGGCCGAGGTGCCGCCGCCGCTGGTCGTGCAGGTGGAGCGGCGGCGAAGTCCATCTCCCGCCGCCACTGCTGTCGAGAAGGATCCGAAGGCCGCCTGCGTCAGCGCCGGGCGAGAGCTTGCACAAGGGATACTTCGCGAACAAAAGAATTTTTCGCCGCCGAATCCTCTTGGCCCGCACCCTTTCGCCCCATGCAGCCGGCTGCTTGCTGGTGGCGACACTAGGGCCGCTGAGGCCCGCAAGATTTTTCAATGTATGTGGCTCTTACGTACATTCTTTTTGTTAAAGTTATATGAGCGTCATCTTGTAGTGAACAGACCGACTTCGCGGTTTGAGCGCCCAGCGCAGACCGACCGACCGCAGGGGGGGTCTGGTCGGCGGCCGCGGAAGACCGCAGACCGGAGGGGGGGGCCGGTCTGTCGGAGCGCAGACCGAGGGGGGGGTCGGTCGGGTGTTGGCTCGAGGGTCACACCGCACATGCTCGCCGCAGCTGTGAATAAATTAGAAAATAGTATCTCTAAAACTGAGTTGCTCATGAAGCGGCGACCGGCGTCCCCAGCACCCGGATCGATTGCCATTCGCTGTCGCTTGAGCGACTCGGAAGCCGATGAGTGAGCCCGGGTGACGATCAAGTCTGGCAAGTCATCGTAGTCATTGGAAGGGACGATGCGCGCGTACTGTGGAGAATTGGAGCGCTGCCAGAGCTTGTACAAAGCGACGGCAAGCAGGATCAGGCCTGCGACTGCGTGGATGCTCCACATATGTGTGTGGAGTCGGGCTCGCTCGGGCCTCGGCGAAGAAGTCTCCTCGCTTGGCTGCCGCGTAACTAGTTTTCATAGTGAAAAGTTAAACCGGCGATTTCGAAGCGCCCGTGGCGGTTCGCGAGAGAAGGAGGGAGAGCGTATGATTGAGGGGCTCACGGCAAGGACACCGACCGAGGGGGGGGTCGGTCGTCACACCTCCCGCCTCCAAAACAAAAGGCTAAGCTCAAAAAAAAGACTTTTGCAACTACGTGGCTGGGTTCACAGCGATTGTAGGAAAATGACGGGACCACTTGACGGTCGCGGCCTTCCGACTCGCGCCTCCGCCTCACTGGCAATATTGTAGCCCTGGCCGGTGCGCGTGCGAAGTTGAAGTTCCCAAGTGAAAATTCGAACGCGTTCTCTCACGGTGACCAAAAAATGTCCACCTCAGAGGCACCTCCGGAGGCAGGCCGCCGCACGCCGGCGACACAGCTCCAGCTGTTGAACTGACCCGCAGCTCCTCTCAGAGCGGGACCTGTGACGAAAGTTGACTGAGGCGGTTGTATTCCTACGGATCACATGGTGGCTCTCTCATGACGGGAGACCGCCCGACCACTCCTGGGTGGCACTGCCACCGGTGTCGCTCGACGTCCTGTCGACAGCGTGCCGACAGCGACACAGACCATGTGGGACGCGTCGAGTATCGACCTCTCGTCGAGCGTGCCGCGCCACAGTGTGCCGTCCAGATCCCAGATGACCATCTTGACGTCGCCGTCGCGGAGCGCCTCGGGGTCGTGATGGCAATCGCTGAAGAAAAGCCTTCGCTGCGGCGGCATGCAGTTCTTTGCGCCTGGACGAGGCAGAAGAGAATGACGCGACAGAGGAGGAAGTGACAAGGGAGAGAACGACGAGAGTGGGACGGCCGCGAGGTGGCATGAAGGTTGCAGCGAGAATCGGCGAGAGACTGCGAAAAGAGATAGGAAGAGGCAGACTCCCTAGGGTGGGCGACGGCTAGCGCATCACACTCCTCTCCTTAAAATCCCTGTGTGGTGGCGGCGTGCCGTCCTCCCATCCCTCCCTTGGGTTGTCTGTTTTCTTTCTTTCTTTTTTCTTTGCGCCTGAAGCCTGGAGAGCAGCTCCTCTGCTGCTCACACGCTCTGCCCAGTTGGCACAGCCTACTGTGCAGCTACGTGTACCACAGCTGTGACAGCGATGGGCTCGCCCTCACTGGCCCTCAGTCACTTGTGCTGCGGCTTGTGTGTGTGAGCGACACTGCTCGACGACTGCCGGCACACTGTGAGACCATGGGTGTGAGGTAAAACCAAGCTACCGGCGCTTGGTCACATCGGAGAGAGAGAGTTTTAGCATTTGTCTTTTAGCATTTGTTTGCACATCGGCGCCCCGGGTCAGATCCTTCTACTCTGTTAGTGACAAGACTTGTCTACTCGAGTACGTGCTGGCTGGGAGTTCAGCTGGAGTTGCCCGCGTCTCGCGAGACGCTTCCCTCGTTTTGTGACCTTGCCTCGTTTCGTGAACACTCCGTAGATGACGAGCTCTGCTTGCACCTTCTTCATGCTCGACGCGGATTTCGTGCGCAGATTCTCTGGCAAAAGTCTGCCCTTCTTCCAGGAGATCCGGGAAAAGGACCCACGTGCCTTCATCGAGACGACCATCGATTATGCTGAGGTCGTGATGGGTACACATGTTGAGGAAACTCTCTCCATCTCGCATCGATGGATGCAAGCAAACGATCCAGATCCGGACGGCGAGCAGCTCAAGGCGCTCAAGGACTTCCTCAACTCGCCTGACGGCCAGAAGATAAAGCGCGTGTGGCTCGACAGCGCCTGCATGCCTCAGGACCACCCCAAGGGTTCGCGCACCGCGGAGGACAAGGCCGCCTTCAAGATGATGCTCTCCGAGGTTAACAGACTCTACCTCGGGACTACCGTGCTCGTGCTCCTTGATCTTTCATACCTGAGCCGCTTCTGGACACAGTTTGAGTCGTGGCTCTCTATGCAGTATGCGACGCCTAACGGCCTCAAGCCGGCTGTGGGCACGAGGAACGAGCGCCACCATGTCGTGTGCATCCAAAACGCCGCGGAGCAGTCCGATCTCTTCATAAAGGCGCTTGTTGATCAGTGGGCGGACAAAACACCTGACGAGGCGCACGCCTTCCTCATCAAGCCCGACGTGACGGTGACAAACCAGAGCGACAAGGATGGGCAGCTGCCAAAGATCAGAGCGCTCGACACGACGATTCAGGGTGTATTCTTCGCGGACCCTGATCTTATGCTAGCCGTTGAGCAGGCGCGGTCGAAGCGCCCCCTCCCTCTGCTCACGAATGCTGAGGAGAAGCAGTACACGTGGGCGATCCGCCGCTCCGACTTCGAGATCAAAGAGCAGCTCAGCAAGGGCGCGTACGGCGAGGTGTGGGGAGCGAGCTGGCGGCGCAACGACGTCGCCGTCAAACTAATTGCGCGGGGCAGCGGCGATTGCGATGCCAACAAGGGGAAAACCGACTTTGTGCGCGAGATGCAGCTGCTCTCGGAACTCGGTGGCCACCGGAACGTGGTCCGTTTCCTTGGCGCGTGCCTCGACGCGCAGCGCATGTTCATTCTGCTCGAGCTCTGCCCGAGCTCGCTGTCAGACCGGCTCTACAAGGAGGACACGGATCTCAACGAGCACGAGATGCTTGTCGTGCTGAGAGAGGCAAGAGCGCCGCACTTTGACCATACAAATACCTCCCCCCTCTCACCCTTCCCACTTATTCCGCCTACAGGTGGCGCTGGGCCTCTACTACCTGCACCACTGCGAGCCGCCCGTGCTGCACCTCGACCTCAAATCGGCGAATGTGCTGCTTGACGAGTCAGGCACCGCAAAGGTGCGCTGGGTAGCGGCGGCAGGTACGCGGTGGCGCCCCCTCCAAAGCACGGCCCCCTCTGCAAGGTGTGCGACTTTGGACCCTTCCACTCCATGGAGGACGCTGCCAACAGATTCGACCCGGCCGAGCGCTCGGGCATCGGCTCTCCGCAGTGGATTGCTCCTGAGATCCTCAGGGGCGGCCGGTACGACGTAAAGGCCGACTCGTACTCCTTCGGCGTGCTGCTCTACGAGGTGCTCGCGCGGCAGCTGCCGTATGCAGGGCAGGACACCTCGACCATCATCATCGGGGTCATCACGCGGATGCTGGAACGGCCGGCGCTCGAGCCCGCAGACGCAGCGCGCTGGCCGGAATGTCTGCCTGAGCTGATGGAGGAGTGCCTGCGAGAAGCTCCGGGCGAGCGACCTGATGTCGAGGACCTTATCGACATGCTCGAGCTCATTGCGCCAGAGGCGGCGGAGTCATCGCGTGCAGCGGCGGAGTCGTCGCGTGCAGCGGCGGACACGGAGGCAATCAGGCTGCGGGAGGAGCTTACGGCGGCGGAGGCGCAGCTGGAGGCGGCCAAGGCGGCGGCCAAGGCGGCGGCCAAGGCGGCGGTCGAGTCTGCGCGGGCTGAGTCGAAGGCGGAGAGCGCGCTGGCGGCACGGGCGGCGGAAGCGCGGCTGGCGGCGGCGGAGGCGGAGGCAGCGGCGCTGCGCGACTCGCTGGCGTCGGCGGCGGAGACGGAGGCGGTAGTACTGCGGGAGGAGCTTGCAGCGGCGGAGGCGCAGCTGGAGGCGGCCAAGGCGGCGGCCAAGGCGGCGGCCAAGGCGGCGGTCGAGTCTGCGCGGGCTGAGTCGAAGGCGGAGAGTGCGCTGGCGGCACGGGCGGCGGAAGCGCGGCTGGCGGCAGCGGAGGCGGAGGCAGCGGCGCTGCGCGACTCGCTGGCGTCAGCGGCGGAGACGGCGGCGATCAAGCTGCGGGAGGAGCTTGCGGCAGCGGTCGAGTCTGCGCGGGCTGAGTCGAAGGCGGAGAGCGCGCTGGCGGCACGGGCGGCGGAAGCGCGGCTGGCGGCAGCGGAGGCGGAGGCAGCGGCGCTGCGCGACTCGCTTGCCTCAGCGGCAGAGACGGCGGCGATCAAGCTGCGGGAGGAGCTTGCAGCGGCGGAGGCGCAGCTGGAGGCGGCCAAGGCGGCGGCCACGGCGGCGGCCAAGGCGGCGGTCGAGTCTGCGCGGGCTGAGTCGAAGGCGGAGAGTGCGCTGGCGGCACAGGCGGCGGAAGCGCGGCTGGCGGCGGCGGAGGCGGAGGCAGCGGCGCTGCGCGATTCGGCGGAGACGGAGGCAATCAAGCTGCGTGCGGAGCTTGCGGCAGCGGCGGCGCAGCTGGAGGCGGCCAAGGCGGCGGCTGAGTCCGCGCGGGCTGAGTCGCAAGCGGAGACTGCGCTGGCGGCACGGGCGGAGGGGTCGCGGCTGGCGACGGCCGAGGCGGAGGCAGCGGCACTGCGCGATTCGCTGGCGTATGCCGAGGGGCGGCTGGCGGCGGCGGAAGAGGCTGAGCGCGACGCGGTGGCTAAGGGACGGAGGAGCATCGCCGCCCGTGCAGCCGGAGTGCATCGCGACGCGGCGGGCAAGGTGAGCGTCGACAGCGCGGAGGCGCGCGAGACGGCGGACGGCGCGCTGCCGCGTGAGCCCGGGGCCAGCGACACGCCAGACCTTGGCCAGGCCGACACCATCGACGCCGGCTTCGTGCTCGACAAGCTTCGGACGCGGCACGCGCACGACGCGATTTACACGCGCTGCGGCTCCGTGCTCATTGCTGTCAATCCGTACAAGAGGATGGGCCTCTTCTCGGAGGCGGTGCTCGCGCAGTACAAGAATGCCCACTCGCTCCCAGCCGAGCCGCCGCACACCTTTGAGATTGCGAGTGCGGCGCACCGGGCGATGATCCACAACGGGCGCAGCCAGGCTATCATTGTGAGCGGCGAGTCGGGGGCCGGGAAGACCGAGTCCGCGCGCCACGTGATGCTCTACCTCCGATACGTCAGCAACACCAGCCCGGAGCTCGAGACCCGCCTCTACGGCTCCGACCCCATCACTGAGGGCTTTGGTGCGGCACCCAGAGCGCACCCTGAGAGCCCGCAGTCCCCGGGCCGCTTCGCGGCGTCACACGGCCCTCCGCTGCCCCCCGCGCCCTCTCTCGGGGGGCCATCGACCACACCATGTGCCCGCCGGCGCTCGCTCCGCTCCTCCTCTCACCACCGTGGTGCCTTGGCGGACAGGCTGCGCCAAGACGGTGCTCAACGACAACTCGTCGCGCATGGGAAAGTTCACCACGCTCAACTTTGACCCGAGCGCGCGGATCCAGGGCGCCAGCCTCAACACCTACCTCCTCGAGAAGACCCGCGTCACGCAGTGCGGCCCGGGCGAGCGCTCGTACCACTGTTTCTACGCGCTGTTGCGCGGCGCGTCGCCCGCTCTGCTCAAGGAGCTGCGTCTGCCGTCGGCCGAGCCGAGTGCGTACGCCTATCTGGCGGGCGGCCACACCGGCGAGTCGGGCGGCGAGCGCACCGACAAGATGTTGTGGGCGGAGCTCGAGAATGCGCTCGCCAACCAGGCGTGGGAGGGCGCGGCGCTGGATGAGCTGTGGCAGCTGGTCGCGGGGGTGCTGCTGCTCGGCAACGTGCGCTTCGACGCGGCCAACAGGGACGCGGCGGCCGTCGAACATTCGAGCGCCCCGTCCATCGCGGGCTGCGAGGCGGTGCTCGGCCTGCAGCAGGGCAGCCTTGCACAAGCGCTGACTAAGCGCAAGGTCAAGCCTGGCGGCGACATCTACGACCTGAGCCTCGTCGCGGCGGGCGACAACCGGGATGCCCTCGCCAAGGCCATCTACTCGAAGCTCTTCGACCGCCTCATCCTCCAGATCAACCGCGCGCTCGCCGAGGCGCGCAACATCTACTCGCCGCGGGCGACCGCCCACGTCATCGGCATCGTCGACATCTTCGGCTTTGAGATCTTCGAGAAGAACTCGCTGGAGCAGCTGTGCATCAATTTTGCGAACGAGAAGCTGCAGGCGCTCTTCACCAAGACCGTCTTCGTCGAGACGATGCGCGCCTACCAGGAGGAAGACATTGACGCCCCCGACATGTCTTACACCGACAACGGCGCGCTCATCCAGACGCTCGAGGCGCCAAACACGGGGCTGCTCGCCATCCTGAGCGAGGAGTGCGTCGTGCCAAAGGGGTCGGACGAGGGCTTCACCGAGAAGGTGATGGCGCAGCACGGAAAGGGCGGCATCATCGTGCGCATGAAGGGCGTCGGCCCAAAGGACGGCTTCGGCATCAACCACTTTGCTGGCCTGGTCAACTACGGCACCCGCGCCTGGCTCGACAAGAACACGGACCCGCTCAACGGCGACCTCGTCGTGCTGATGCAGTTCTCTGACAACGAGCTGCTCAAGGAGCTCTTCACCGAGCCGGCGGACGTGGCGCCCGCGGCGGGCGACCGGAAGAAGTTCAAGTCGACCAAGTTCAAGGGCGTCACCGACACCTTCTCGGCGCAGCTCACGGACCTCGTCGGCACGCTCGACAAGTGCGACCTGCACTTCGTGCGCTGCTTCAAATCCAACGACCAGAAGAAGCCCGACCTGGTCGAGGACGCCGTCATCACGCGCCAGCTCAACACATCTGGCATGCTCGACGCGCTGCGTGTCGCCCGCACCGGATTCCTCGACCGCATGCCCTTTGACGAGTTTTGCGGCAACTTCGGATTCCTCGTGGTTCCCGGTCTCGTCACCAAGGCGAGTTTTGCGAGCAAGGCGCCCAAGGACCGCGTGTTGGCGCTGCTCCAGAAGCTCGCCGTGCCCGGCCAAAAGTTCCGCTGCGGCAAGGCGCGCGTCTTCTTCGCCTCGGGCGTGCTCGAGGGCCTGCGCACGCGCCGGCTCGAGATGCAGGCAAAGGTCGCCGTCGCCATTCAGGCGGCCGGGCGCGGCCACATCGCCCGCAAGGCGGCGCGTCAGCTGCGGCGTGTGCGCGAGGAGGCGCTGCAAGCGATGCTGTCCGCCGCGGCGCAGGAGGATGTCGAGGCGCTCCAGGCGGCCATTGCGGACGCCCGGGCCGCCGGCGTGCATCACTACCCGGCGGGTGCGGCGAGCGTCGCCGGCGCGGAGGAGCTGCGGGCGCGAAGGGAGGCGGAGGGTGCGCTGGAGAAGGCCATCGGCGCAACGCGAGGTGGCCTGCGCCGAGCTGAGCTCGAGGTGGCGCTGCAGCGCGCCGCCGGCTGCAAGTCGGACAGGGCGTTGCTGGAGCGCGGGGAGCGGCGGCTCGTGACGCTCAGGGCGAAGCCCTGGGTGTTGTAGTTGGCAGCCGGTCGGGAGTCGTTAAAGATGCGCGAGATCATCGCGCAGGCGGTCGTGCACATGCTAAACCCGAGCAAGTCGCGGGACTTCTCAGGCGGGCGCGTCAGTTCGACGGCCAGAAGCTCACGGTGCTCGCTTTTTGCGTGAGTCAGTGCAGCAGACCATCTGGGTTGAAGCCTTACCGTCGGCTTGAAAAAGCCCAAAACAAAGAAAGCCGGCCCGGGGTACAGCCGCCCGAGCGCTCGCGGTGGGAGTGCCGCCTCAGCCCGAAGCAGTGCGCCGCCGCATTCACGACCGACACGGCGCGCCTCGCCGAAGCGACGTCATCTTTGTGGCGACCAAGCGCTCGCAGAACGAGGCTGCTGCTCGCGCGATCGGGCTGCGCTTGTAAAATTCTTCTTGCCTGCGATGGAGGGCCGATACACCCCCTACGATAGCCTGCCTGACGATGACTACGATAGCCTGCCACCTGACGACTCGCTCTCACTGGAGGAAGAGGCAACCGATGCGGGCGATGCGCCCGTCATGGGGTTGCTCGTTGCTCCTGCCTGCTTTGCGCTCGGTGCGGCGCTGTACATCACGAATGGTGCTTTCCTTGTCGCTCAGACGGCCCTTCTTCTGCTGACGTCCCTGCTGCCCCTTTTGGCTCGAAGCAATCAATTTGGGAAGATCATCAGCGGAGACGCCGTCGCGAGGCTCTGTGGATGCGTGATCTCCCTTGGCCCAATCTTCCAGGCCGTATACTGCGCACAGTGCGCCACTCCGCTGATCAGCGCAACGGAGTATGCGGCTTACGTCGGCAGCACCCAGGCGAGGCTGGGCCGGGCAGCCTTTGGGGTCATGCTCATGTGGATGCCGCGGCCTCTCGACTGGAAGTGTAGCCGCGCGGTGGAGCATTGTGCGGGCGTGTGCCTAGTGGAGTTTGTGCGCGCGAGCCGCTCCTGGGCGACCGACAATCCCTCTGCCTATGGCGCACACCTTGCTCTCGACCGGGCCGGTGCCTACCTGCTCGGGATGGCGGCGGGCGAGCTGATCATGCAGGGCCATGTGCCCGCGCAGCGCTTGGCGTCGGCAGTCCGTCAGTTGGCTGCGAGCCGGCGGCGCGTGAGGCAACCCCGCCCCCCCTCCTCCCCTCCCCCTCCCCATCCCCATCCGCGTTCGCATACATGAGTGCCGAGGGACGTGCCTGACCCCACCTCCACCTCGCTCTCTAGGCAACTGCTCTGCGAAAAAGAGCGAATGGACTGGGAGTTGCGGCTGCGGACTCGAGGCCTCGGAGCTCCAGCCGCTGAAGCGCTGCCGCCGCTTCTGCCGAGCGTGCACCCCAGCAGCAGCCATCAGCCGACCCCAGAAGCACGCGACCCCGGCAGCAGCAGCCACGACTCTCGCAGCGAGCCCTCCGCCGCCACCGTCCCGCACGCAGAGCCTGCCATTTCCGTTGCGCATTTCCATCCCATCGTGCCTAGCTCCTCTGGCGGCAGCGAGAGCGAGTACTTCAGCGACAAGGTTTCGTGTGCCATGTCAGCGTGGTCCTCGGAATCAGGAGAGACCCATAGGCAAGGCGCAGGTTACGTTGGCGGGCCTTGAGTCGGCTGAATGCAGGGTCAAGGTGGAGTGACTTGAGCCCCACCGCCCGTGTGTGCCCCTAGATTGGCTATTGCACACCGAAGCATGCAGCGCACGCGTCACGGTCCACTCGCCTCTGCGAGAGTTGCGCATCTGAGATCTGTGCGTGTCTATTGGTATTGCGGGGGGGCTGTACGCTGTAATCTTCTAACGACTACGTACTAGTGGACGTGCGATCTTTTACACAAAATAAAGCCGTGAGTTGAGGAAATCGAGGGACGCGACCCACCTCGCCACAGACGGTCCCGCGCCTCGCCGCTATGACGGCGGCACGGCCGCAGCTCATGTGCGTGCCGCAACTTTATCCGGAGTGAAAAGTCCAACGCGCTCGTCGATGGCGGCTTCCCTCAACCTGCGCCGCGCTCGGCGAACCTCGACAGCGCCTTCGGTGGCATGCAGCTCTTTGCGACAGAAGCCTGGACAGCTCCTCTGCTGCTCACACACTCTGCACAGTTGACACAGCCTACTGTGCGGCTGCCACAGCTGTGACAGCGATGGGCTCGCCCTCACTGGCCCTCAGTCACTTGTGCTGCGGCTTGTGTGAGCGACACTGCTCGGCGACTGCCGGCACACTGTGAGACCATGGGTGTGAGGTTAAACCACGCTACCAGCGCTTGGTCACATCGGCCCCGAGGTCAGATCCTTCTACTCTGTTAATGACAAGACTTGTCTACTGGCTGGAGCCGAGCAGGAGGGCCCAGCGCACAACCCCTGGTCAACTCAGGGTCCACACCCCGTAGACGGCGGGAACCGGGATTACAATGCGGCGAGAGGGCGCGATAGAATCATTGTATCTTTTGAAAAAACGATGGGCAAAAACGCGGGGTGGTTTCGGTCATCCGTTAAAATATCTGAAGATCTGACCGGGGGATTCTCCCACAAACCATGCTCAGCTGATCCAGCACGGCGAATGCACGGGTCGTAGGCCAGCCAGGCAGGCCTGGGCAAAGAAACCAGTACCTCATCAGGCTTCCCTGAGCGTCACAGCTCGGTGATCGCGCCGGCCGGACACCACTGTAACGTCCGTTCCGGGCATTTGAACGCGACCTTCGGGGGCAAAGACATGGGCTCTATGGCTCAGACTGGACTCCTCTTGGTCCCTTCTGATGCCCTAGGCCACACCTGGGCCTTACCTGGGGCTCTAGGGGTGTGCAGGGTTTGCCCCCCGAAACTGGCCCGGAGGACCTTAAGAGATTGCAGGCACGGGGGGTCCCTCTTTCAAGACCGTTTAAGAAAATCGGCCTCGCCGGCATGCGTCGCTGGGTTCCGCGCCGTTTTCTCCAATACTGCCGTTGTTAGGCACAAACCCGCCTCTGAAGACACATCTGTAAGTCTGTTGCACTGGCAGGAGCCATACTCGCATACGGGGCGCGTGCTGACTGTAGCCGGCTTCCCAGCCTCCGGCGTCTACCGGGAGCCTCCCGGACCATCGTGCATCGACCTCGGGAGCTCTCCCGCGGACCGTTTAAGCGTTTAAGACCGTTTAAGGAATCGGCGGCCCAGGCAGCCTAGCTTAAAATGGGCCATGGCCCGCTTTAATTAAGCCGTTTAAGCCGCAGGCGCCCCAGGGCCCACCCTTTTAAGCCTAGGGGTACCCAAGCCATCTCTGCTGTGAATAGAGGGAGAGTGCTGCAGCGTTGGAACCGTAGCTCGGCGCCTCGCCCTCAGCAGAGCGGGCGAGAAACGCTGAAGCTGTTCGCGCCACATACCCCCCCGCCTGTGGCAGACCTGCTTGGGGGTATGGTAGGGCCGCTAGTCTTGGGCGGTCAGGACCATACCCCCACCCCTTTGGGCCGCCGATGCTACCATACCATGTCTAGATACCCCGGAAAAAGTTGGAACCCTGGCCGCTCTGGCGGGCTCCGAGGTATTTTAGTGCGCCTGGTGGCGAAAAAGAATTTGAAGATTGCGCGAAAAAAGAACACACAAAAACAAGAACCGAAAAGAACAAGGAAAAGAAATCGTGGGGCAAAGAATTTTCGCGCGGAGCCCTCTGCCTCTCTTCGAGAAAGAAGTTCCCGTGTGTCCCTAAAGAATTTTCGACTGACGCAGCAGACGCCCCCCTCACAGGGGCCCCTGTTGCTTAAGAATTCTTTCGGGGCCGCGTATAGCCGCAGGAGGATGTACGAAGAGATTAGGAGCAGCAGGGACCCGAGGGACCAGGTGGAAGACGGCTAGTGCTAGTCGTAACGTGGCGGCGGCGAACATCGGCAAAGGGCATGTGCGCCTCGTTGGCGACTTGAAACTTACGAGCTCGCTTGCGTGCAAGGGTGGCGATCGGCTCGGCTGGAAGGGGGCTTTTGTCGCCTTCGGCAACACCGAGCGGGCGCTGCTCGACTTAGTGTTAGGGCATGCTGCATGGCCGCGGCCGGAGGGGGGGGGGGGGGGAGGGGGGGTTCCTCCTCCTCCTCGTCCTCTTCCTCGCGCATGCATCGCAAAGTGAACTGGAAAAGCTGGACGGTGCAAGCAGACGCTCACCGACAATGCTGGCACAAAGGCCCACCTCAATTCCCAAACGAGGGGCCAGTTCACAAAGGTCTCAACTGATGCACAGTACAGAGGCTGAGGAGCGAGTGAATCTCCGCGTCTGGCGTTAGATTTTGTTGCTGAAGCCATACGGGCATGCTCTCGACTACAGCGCCGGCGGTGAGATTCGGAGCAAACCATCCACAGGCCTGCTGCTTGGAGGATTCAACAAAGTCTTTTCGCATCAACGTCAAAACCAAAGTCAGCCAGGATGAAAGCCAGCGAGGGGCGCCCCATACACAGGACCCAGATATAGATCGCTAGGACCCACGCAACGCCAGTCCAAATGCGGCGAAACTAAAGGATTTCTGCAAAAAAGAAAAAAAACTCTGCGGCGGGCCATGGGACCCCATCTCCCCCCGTATGGACACCCTCTTGGGCCCCCGCCTCCCCCCAGAGCCCAGTCCCACTGGCCCAGTGCCAGTCCGCCGTGCCCAGTCCGTGGCCCAGTGGACGGGAGGTCAGAAGACACCGCTCGTGTCACTGATGACGGACGTCAGACTCTCTTCAATACAAAAAAGCTCGTTGCACTATCAAACTATTAGCCTAATAACGTACCTAATTGTTAGCACATACCTAATAATTAGCATTTTTTCACCTATTAGCTTAATAATTAGCTTATTTACACAATCAGTTTCGTGAAAAATGCTAATTATTAGCTTAATAGCAGCGTGCTAATAATTAGGTACGTTATTAGGCTAATAGTTTGATAGTGCTAGTAATTAGGTACGTTATTAGGCTAAGCGAGGTACCGCCGCCATCGATGACGCCGCGGCGACGTGACCGTCGCCCGCAAATTCGACGCGAGTCGCCGCTACACTCAGCCCGCTCTCGCTAAAACCGGTACGACTTTTTTGAGAAACGAAATCCGAGCCCCGACCGAAATTCTGAGAATCTATGTATGTACAATGTGAGAGGACTCGAGATGTGTTCGAGATTGGGGCAGGGCGACTTTTCGGCGGTCGTGGATCACGCTCGTTGCTGCGATTTTCAGTCAGGCTTTGACTGGACAGCATCGATGCCGTCGCCGGACGCGGCGGCGAGGCACACGGGCGCCGGCGTGGCGCGTCGGCAGGCCCACCACGAGCGGATGCGCGACGAGCGCGCTCGGGAAGCGGCCGCGGGCGACGCGGAGCTTCCGCCGGAGGACGACGCGGTCGAGATGGGTAGAAGCACGACTTCCTTGCCCGCCTTCCACTCGCCCTCGTAGACGGCGCCGCTGGCAAACCGCATGACGCCGCGCCCCTCCCTCTCACCCGCCTTCCACTCGCCGTCGTAGACATCGCCGTCGACGTACCGCATGACGCCGCGCCCCTCCTGCTTACCCGCCTTGAACTCGCCCTCGTAGACGTCGCCGTTGGCGAGCCGGTAGACGCCGCGCCCCTCCCTCGTACCCGCCTTGAACTCGCCCTCGTAGACGTCGTCGTCGGCATACCGGTAGACGCCGCGCCCCTCCGGCAGACCCGCCTTCCACTCGCCGTCGTACACCTCGCCGTCGGCGAACCGCATGACGCCGCGCCCCTCCCGCTTACCCGCCTTCCACTCGCCGTCGTAGACGTTGCCGTTGGCGAATCGCATGACGCCGCGCCCCTCGCGCTCTCCCGCCGCGTTGTACTCGCCCTCGTACTCCCCCTTCGGCACCTCGCCCGAGCGAGCCATCGCGATGTTCACCTTGACAGCGTACTCACGGTACAGCTCGACGACCACCGGCTTGTCGCCTTTGCCCGTGAAGGTGGCCTCCTTGATCGCGGCGATCACGCGCTTGTTACGCGGCCCCATCCCCTCGTCGGCGCGGTCCTCCGCCTCTGCCACACGGGGCCCCTCGCCGTCGATCTCGATGACCTTAGGCGGCAGCCGCTCTTCCAGTAGCTTGCCAAGCCCTGGGAAGTAGGCGAGGCGCACGAGCGCCTCGGTGCTCACCGCGCTCTCAAACGTCGTCCACCTGCCAGCGGAGAGGGGTGTGGCGCATAAGCAGTCGCTGTGGCATGTGGTGGCGGCGGCGGCCAGCCACAGCGCACCCGCGAGCGAGGTAAGGGCGGCCGTTGTAGAAGAGGAAGACGGCGGTCGCGCCCGGCAGCGCACCCGCTGCGGTGGCTGCCTCGACCGCCTCCTCCGCCGCCGCGTACGTTGCGAAGCGAACACGCCACCGGCCCTCCTCATAGCGCGGGTTCTCAAACGCCCCGAGAGCACTGCGCAGCTCGGCCTCGGCGCTGGCGCCGTCGAGCCCGCCGCCCTTCTCGACGAGGATGACCACTTCGCCGTCCAGCTCCGCCGGCTGGGATGGCACTGAGCGGTGGCGAATGACGGTCGTGCCGAAGGCAGAGGCGTAGACGTCGCCCATGACCTGCGGAGGCGCGAAAAGAGGAGAGTCCTTAGGAGAAGCAAGGGCATGTGTGCGGGCGAGGGAGTGGGGAGCGAGTAGATGAAAAGCGACGGGCGCAGAGGGCGGCGGAGGGAAGGCGGCGCGGACCTTGAGCGATTGGGAGAAGAGCTCGTCCTCGGCCTCCGTTCGCGGCTTTTGCGGGAGTGAGGAGAAGCTGCGGAGGGGAGGTTGTTCGGGCGAGGCGGGCGTGGGCGGTGAGAGCGAGGAGGGGAGAGCGAGTGTGTGTGTGGAGAGAGAGGCGAAGGAGCGGAGAAGATAGGCGGTGAGAGCGAGGAGGGGAGAGCGAGTGTGTGTGTGGAGGCGAAGGAGCGGAGAAGATACATGCGGCCTAGGGCCTGCCCTCCACACGCGCAGCCACTGGGTCCGGGGTGGGTCTGGGGCGGTGGCGCACTCCCAGAAGAGGGCCGTCACGTGCTCGCCAAGCGGGTGGCGCAGGAAGCGCCGCACGTTGGCCAGATACTCTCCGGTCACGTCGGGGTGGTCCGGCGAGGCCCAGCCGTAAGTCAGCCCGGCGACTTCTCGGCGTAGCGAGCGCAGCGCCGCAACAGCCTCCTCCGGCGTGAGGAAGACACAAATGCCTCGCTCCAGCTCCATCCGCTCCAGCTCTTGCCGGTGGAGGAGCTTGGGCAGCATCGCCTCGGAGCCGTCGGCGCGCAGGAACTCGGCGCGAAGCAGCTTGATGGCGCCCGAGCGGAGGACGGCGACGAGCGCCTCGTCAAGGGCCGCCAGCAGCGGGATGCCCTTGTGGTCGGCGGCGGTGAGCGCGGCTGCCTTGCCCATTGAGTACAACATATTGGTTGCGCCAAGGTTTCGGACGGAGAGAGGGAAAGCAAGCTTGCAGAGCTCGCTTATAGGGCGTGCCACTAACTTCAGCTGGGATACGGGCGTATGAGCCGCCAGGCGTGTGAGCCGCCACAGGGCGTGTCACAATCGTGCTCACAAAGCACCGTCGATATCGCGATAGGCCTTTTTCTTCTTTTAAGAGCGCCACAAAAAGGAGATCGCGGGGTGGCACACATGGCACACGGGGGGGGGCGGGGGCCCCAGCAACTAAGCGCACACACCGTCCGGCCGGCCGCTTTCTCCGATGTCCGAACCCCCCTTGCGCGTGCGACAGACCCGCTCGAACGGCGGCTGGCGAGGCCCTCGCATGGCGGCACACACGCGACACACACATAAGTCAAGGCACGAGGCGAGAGGAAGCGACAACCCAAGTGGCTGCAGCGCCCAACCCCTTCGCGGAGGATGGGCCCGTCGCAGCAAAGGAACGCCGCCAGAGCGAGAAGGAGCAGGCGCACATCGCTTCCAGGGGGGGGGGGGGCGCCCTTCTCTCCGGAAACTCGGGGTCAAAGCCCTCCGAC